AGAGAGGAACGATGGTTTGAGAGAGGAGTAAAGGAGGCCATCTTTGTGAAAAGAAATCGTCCATCGTTAAACAGGGGTGGAGGCCTCCGGGTTCAACTGTCCCCCTCTTACAATGCTGTGATTGCTAGTATCACTCAGCCCTCGGTGAATAGTAAACAGCCATCAGGTGCTAATGATCCATTGTTAGGCTGATGGTCCTTCTTGAGCATGTGATCAGCTGGTTCTGGTTGTCAGCAGCAAAACTGGTTGATCCACTCTGAGAAGGTGCTATTTAAGAGACTGAGCTGAATACAGCACCTCAGACTGAGGAAGTCTCTCGGTTGAGAGACGAAACGTTTCTACATTTTTTGATTTGTTTTGTTTTTTGTTTTTTGAATGTCCAGAGGACCAGATTGAACTTTTTTGGATATTCTGAATAAAATATTAGATGTTGGCACCTCCACATCATTGCATTCAGTTTTTATTCACAATTTGTTTAGTGTCCCAACTTTTTTGGAATCCGTTTTGTATATTCTCTGTTAATTTTTATATATTTTTTGTGATTCCTTGTGCATCTTTTTTTGTATTGAAACTCTGGCCCAAGAATTTCCTGCGGGATCATCAAAGTTATTAAATGCACAGCGTTCCACCCGCCCCCAGGTGTCTTTTACAACCTGTCATGAAACCATTGAATTTAAATAATTATACTTAATGTTTTGTGTCTCTCTTTTTTTACCCTTCCAGATATGTGTTGTATCCACTGGATTTATACAATGATAGTGCACACTACGCTCTTACCAAATTCAAGAAGCAGTTCCTCTATGATGAAATTGAAGCTGAGGTAACAGAATGTGATCATAATTGTGATCAATAGTTGATCCTAGTCTTTTGTCATGTATAAACTTTATGACAGAATCTTGTTTTTTTAAATATATCATTTGCAGAGGAATCCTAGTTTTTATTATGAATCTCTACATGTTAGTCCCATATGTGTGCTTAGTAGTTTAGTGATTGTTTCTAATTTTTAAAAAAGTTTTTCAGTCATCAGGTTACTGTGTGTTTTGTTATTTTTTTCCCAGGTCAACTTGTGTTTTGATCAGTTTGTCTACAAGCTAGCTGATCAGATTTTTGCTCACTACAAGATACTAGCTGGAAGGTGAGTTGTTTCCTTTATTTCCTTTTCCCCATTTGTCCAAACTTTTAACTGTGGCTGTAGTAGGAATGTGCGATATAAACGGTACATGGTAGAAACGATAGACATTTATCCTACGATAGAGATCTGTCTTCTTCCGGCTAACCGCAGTAATGCTGTGTCTGATGTAAAATCAAAGTTGTCAGATTTAATCGTTACTTTATTTTAGTTGAAAACTGTGCATAAGTGGTGTTAGTCTTTTCTTCAAGAGCTAAGTAGCGAAGCTACAAGCTAACTATGACCGGCTTGCCTTAGTGTTTCTGTATTCGGACGCATGTGCAAACTCTGTGTTCCATCAAGTTTTTTTTTTCCGTCGAAAGTTAAAGTCAGCGTTGGTCAGCTTTAGAGAAACCTGCTCTCTGATCTGTGAAAAGAACGTTGTGTTGTGTGATTTTACTGCGAGACCCTCTGGTCAAAGTCACAGAGGAAGCTGGTTGCCATTTTGTGTCAGCTCTCCTTAAAGCGGAAGGAGACGCCCACTAGAGGGTTGGAGGGTGAAGTGTTTTCAGCGTGCACTTGTTGCTCTGTTGCTGTTCATTTCTTAAGTGAGAAGACTGGAAACTGTTAACAACATATTCTGTTGTTTAAAACATATGGCTAAAACTACATTTGATATCTTTTGCACTGTTTTGCACTACAAGAAAGAAGCCTAATACTTGATTTGTTTATTATTTTAAAAACTCTGGACCTAGTAGTGGAATTTTCTTAATTGAGATTATTTTGTGGTATAGCAGTTTTCAAAATAAATGATGGCTAATGGACACCCTTGGCTTTTTTTTCATTCCTATTGCAAGTTTTATACCAAAAACATATCGTGATATATATTGTTATTGCCACCCTTCACAATACATATCATGATATGAATTTTAGGCCATATCGCACATCCCTATGCTGTAGATATTTTAAGAGTAAAGTATTCCATATTTTTTTAAAGACTATGAAATCATGGGGGAAAAACTAAATGTAAACTGTGTAATACAAGATGATACAGATTTGTAAGACTTGTAACCAAAATAATAAGCTAGTACCGTATTTTCCGCCATACTCGTCGCTCCACCCAATAGAGGCGTTATTTGTTTACCAACATGGCAGCTGTGCGCGCAGCCAGTCTGCAGAAAGAGCCGGTGTCTTGTGCGAACTTCTGTTCCCCTGTATCAAGAGGGCGCACAGAGGCGTCCATCTTCACAGCTCTTCTGATAGATTTCTTGGTATTAAAAACTATAAATGCACTTGATGTCTTGGTGGCTGACACATTTGTCAGGCTAAAGTGAACATGACAAAGGTTGTATAAAAAAAACACACATTTTTTGTTCTGCGATTTAAAAACTAACTAACTAAATAAATAAAAAATCACACAAAAAATACACGAAACTGTAAGACAACCCCCACACAAGACCAGGTTTATTTGTTGCTTATTTGAGGTTTTATATTTATTTATTACCATGAGCTGTCGATTAAAATGAAAGTTACAACTGTGACAGATTCTGTGACTCGTTTTACTGAGAAATCTATGAGAAGCATTGAAAACGGTCAGACCCGCCTCTGTGCGCCTTATTTTTATTTTGTTTTTTATTTTTTACATTTTATTACATGATGTTGAAAAGGTGAATAGGTGCTGCTCATTACGTCTCAAGAAGAACCATGAATATTATTATGAAGTTCAGCTTCACAGCGTGTGGCGTCCAGTCCTGTGGACCCAGCAGGATCCACTGGTGCAGCCAGGGATGATCACATGATGAACACAGTCCTCCACATACATGATCAGTTATTCATACAAAGTTATATTGTAAAAGAAAGAAGCTAAAAACAATCCACTTTGACACAAATCATTTATTGTAACTTTTCCTGTTAACATTCACTTTTAACTTTTTCCTTCAAATCATTCTGTGCACGTTAAAAAAAAGTTATTTTGTTGTTACTTTTTTAATGACATTACTTATGTACAAACAAGAACTAAAAAGTTTTTCATGTATCCTTAACTCTTGAATACTTCAACAAGATATTTACAATTTATTTTCTAAGAACTATACAGTCCCAAATGCGTGTTAACGCTGCACACACAGTTACAACGTCATCTAAGAGATTAAAGGTTTCAAAGTCTGAGACATAACAGGAGACAACCAACTTGTCAAAATGTTGGAAATGTCACATTCAGTAACATTAAATCTGAACGTATTATTGGTGAGCCCTAAACTCAGTTTTCATGAGGATGGACAGTGTGGTCCATTGTTTGGACATCTGCTGGGGGTTTATCTTTTTCTCTTGTAGCTGAGACACAGAAGAGAGCAATCATTAGGTACAGCAGGAAAGCATCACTTTACTTTGTTAAACACAGGTTTATTACAGCCTCAGTACAAATCAGTAATCCTCTACTTACTGCTCCAATTTTCCATCGCTGTCTTTGCCGGACTTTGTAGAGTAGGAGAAGATGGACGGGACAAAGCCAGGACTGTCGATGTCTTCAGAGGCCACTCCTGTACAAATAAAGTGTATTCCAGTGACTGACGTTAATGAAAACAGCACACGGTTGGCCAGCGCTAACTGGCATAGCGTGTGTTAGCATACAACTTTACAACAGTAACAAGAAAATATCCTGATGCATGCTCAATAATCCAGGTAGAAAAATCTAAAAAAGTTAAATCTGGTCCTTTGGACATTCAAAAAAACAAAACAAAAAATTATAGAAACGTTTCGTCTCTCATCCTGAGGACTTCCTCAGTCTGAGGTGCTGTATTCAGCTCAGTCTCTTAAATAGCACCTTCTCAGAGTGGATCAACCAGTTTTGCTGCTGACAACCAGAACCAGCTGATCACATGCTCAAGAAGGACCATCAGCCTAACAATGGATCATTAGGGTGATAATCATCAGCCATCAGTGTAACCAAGATACAGTTTACCCTCCAGGAGAAGACAATCATAAGAAAAACATGATTTGAAAATTACAAGAAATTTATATATATATATATAAAAAACAAAACAAAAACTGCTGCCTTATAAAGTGATGTAAATAACTAAAAACAGGAACATGTCTGTTGGTTTATGTCATGAACTTAGCAGATGTTTGAAGCCATTTAACATTTTATTTTATTTAATTCATTTATTCATTCATTTAAAAGAAACAAAATAAATTAATCAAAAAGAAAACATTGAATGAAAAGAGTGCAGAAAGAAGAAAAATCTTATATCTGTCCCTTATTTAAAAAATATAAAATAACTTTAAACAATCACTTAAATTAATCACTTTAATATCCACTTTAAAGCTAGGAATAAAAAAAAACATGTTTTGTGTTAGAATTTAATTCTAACTTTAAAACTTATCCAACATTAATAAAACTTACCTCATGTTGTCTTTTTGGACATGCATGAATATATTTGTACAAATTGTACTTGAGAGGAGATTATTACAGCCTCATATAAAATCTATGATGATCATGATATCGGAACTGGATCGGTATCGTTCGATATACAGATTTAAGTATCGGGATCGGAAGTAAAAAAAAAAGTGGATTGGTGCATCCCTATTGTTGTCATCATTCTTTGTTAAAAACAGGTCTCTCTTGTAAATAAGTCCTCGAGGCAGTGGCGGCTGACCAATAGAGGGCACAAGGGTGCCGCCCCACCACTCACCACATGACCTTAAGACATAAAAAAATGAAAAAACAAAAAAATATTTCTAAATACATGCATTTTTTTTTAGCTGTGTTAGATAAATATTTTATTGATAATGATGAGTAAAGTTGTTTCGTTCATCGACTTTGTCTGATTGGTGACGTATTTCTGCACTGGGACACAAAAATCTTTGCCCATAGACTCTCGTTAAAAATTGTACATGCGCTGTAGCTTCTCTTCTGTACAAGAGATAGGGCATTCTGGGGCGCACCTCTCCTGCGCCCAGAGCTGAATGCAGCCTGAGAGGATCGGACAGAGATGTGAAATGGAGCAACAGAATAGGTGAGATAGAAGCTAATTGTACGATGTAAGTCTTTTACAATATTTTTAATCATATTAGTGCTGTATTGTGAAAAAGTGGGGAGCACACCTTGCCCTATATTACATAATAGTCTACTTTTTTATAGGTGCTGTGTGAATTTGCATTGTTATTATTAAATGAACACATATACTCATAAAATAAAGTAAAAACAAAAAGGACAGACAAACACATTAAGAAAAATAATATTGTTTTGTATTAACAAAGTCCATGCTCAATAATCCAGGTATAAAATCCTTCATTTTTCACTCAGGTCGTTGTTTTCAACTAGTTTGACAAGACTGTCAACAAGGAAGAGGGCCAGCAATGGAGGAGGGGGCGTACCAAAGAGACCATCTTATCACAAGCAGAACTGGTTTGTTCCACTTTGGAGTAAACTGCTGGAGGAAGAATCAGTTTTGTTGTGTGTTTCCTTGACTGATGAAGACTTCCGGATTGAAGGCGAAACGTTTCAGCACAAAAAAGAAACTGTCCAGATGGCCTGACTGAAAAATGTTGGATTATTTTGTATTATTTGGCTATAATTGTCTTTGTTTCATGGTAATATGAAATATGAACTTTTTTTTTTTTTTCCGGCGCCGCCCAAGAAGGCAGCTCGTCTCAGCAGCTTGGCAACAATGGAACTGCTTTTTATCTGTTGCTGCTGTTGCTGCCGATACACTGGAATTTCCCATCCGTGGGACAATAAAGGCTGTTTCTATTCTATTCTAATATGTGGGAAATATAAATGGAAAAAAACACACACCATAATTCATTCCTCAGTTGAAGTAAAATTCATGGGAATAAGATGCACTATGATTGCTGATCTCGTGATCTATGATCAATTTTTCTGGCCTTGCAGTTCAAAGATCACAGAATGATGCAGAAGAATATTATGTTTTCAATGCATTTTCTTTATGTTTTCTGACTACAATTGTTTATACCATATTTTCCGCCTTATAAGTCGCAGTTTTTTGCATAATTTGCATGCCCTGTGA